AACTTAAAATGTAAATAATCTTGTCTAGTGATGTTTAATTGCAAATTTGACGTCTCTACTGACAAAGTCGTCTTCTGTTGTTTGTTCACGCGAAGTGATACGATGTTGTTTTCTTACTCCTGGAAAAAAGTTTGATGAAAGCGTAACCCATGGATAAGACGACCCCCTTCTACAGACTGCTTTTTTTGGTCCTCAAAATTCGACTTATAGACGGTAGGTATGACATAGGCAGAACATACCTGCTTAGTAAACTTACTCAATGGCATATACTTAGGTGAGTAAAGTGACTTAAATACGCACACATATTTGAAAGCAGTGGGAAACAGAAAAAGAAATACCCACTCAACATTCATAATACCCACTCCAAACAAATACAGTGGGTACAGTACTCACATGAGCTAAATCTTATCTGGAGCTCTGTGTCATATATATGTTATGGTGAACAAATATTGTATGTGTGATATCTATCATCTCAGGTTTTACATGTACTCTCTCTTAATTTATATGCATGCCATACAAATTTACTTAAGCTTTTTAAAACTAATACATTTTCCGTTGATAGAATTGATCTAAATTGATACATGTTCGGATTTTGATGATATATATATGGAAAGTATTTAATTCGTAGAGCGCTATATAATGGACAAATAATAAAAAATGGTGCTCGTCTTCACTATCTAAATTACAATATGGACATAAACGTTGAGACTTATCTATTCCTAACCACCTCCATTCATCATGTTTTAATCGTAATAGACCACATCTGAACTGAACCAATATATTTCTAAGTCGTTTGTCAATAATGCAAATCTAAATATTTCTCAGGAGCTAAAATGCTTTTATATTCACGATAAATACAATACAAGAACAACAAACCATAACGTTGCAACTGTCATGTAAATCATGCTTTCGCAAGTGAAATTATTTCATTATTATCGTTCTGAACATGTGCTAGGTGACGTTTATTTCATTTGAGTTCAATCGTCATCGAAGGATAGTGTTGGAGTTTTTCGCACATGTGGGATCTGCTAAGCAGCCAGGTATGAACCCCATGGAACAACTTTTAGGAGGGCATGGGTAGATGTTTCTCGTGCGAGGGGTGGCTACACTAGGTACTGACGTGGTCGCCAGTCTCAGTTCACACAATCACAACAAACAATAACTGAGAATTTGGTGACAATATTCACATTAGTGGCGTTGTCATGGTGACCATATTTTCAGGCATTGTTTTCCTTCAAGTTTCTAGTTATTTTCTCTCTCAGATTAGTAGACTGATTGTCGCATTTTCAACATATTTAAGCCAGTTGTTAGATCAAATAATTGTTTAGTTTAGAATTCAAGAAATTCTTTAGTTCCTTTAACAGATCTCAAGTATTTAAATTAACTGACATCCTTAAGTTTGATCTCTTATACTTTTCTCATGATCTACTCTCTTCTTATTACAGACATCTTTCCATTATGATTTCAATGTTTTATATTCACTAACATGAGTATCATAAGGAATATAACAAGAGCATGACGTGTGACAATTCCTAAAGGTGACCATATCAAACTGGATATTAATCTGGTTATTAATACTTTCAACAGCTGAGATACAGTTTCGCCTGTAACTTGGAAAATGTCAGCAAATCGAGTACCCCAGATGTATTTTGTATCGAGCTAGTAACATCCATAGAGAATACTACAGTGGTCTTATTACGTACCAATTATACTAAAGGAGTGTCCTTCCTATGGTATCTGACCGAGCGAAAGCTCGACGGATACAATGTCCCAGTTCGACTCTCAATTAAACAGCGAAACGGCAACGTTCGCAATGTTTACATTCCCACAATTCATATAAGTTGTAGAATGAATGAATTCGCGTGTTTCTTATGAAGGAACAAGTAATTCCGTCACAACCTGACCTAATTGAAGGGTCATTGGTTATCCAATCAAATCGGTAGAATCTCAGGTCAAGTCGTTACGACACAGGTCAACGCGATACGACATTCTTGTGACGTACGAGATTAGTATCCAACCACCCATACGTTGACCAAGTGGGAAATAAAATTTATTATCTTTAATCTTTCCATACAAGATTTACCCTGGACAAGTGTTAGAATAGTAAGGTGAAGCCAATGATTATAGCACACTAAAGTACGCACTGGGGCACACATAAAGATCCAGTCAAAGTCAGAACACGTGTATGCTCCAGGGGCTCAGTCTGCTACAACACAGCCCAGCATTTTGCCAAACTACTAGCACCAGTGGGAAAAGAACGAAACTCCTACATCAGCAATTCCAGTACCTTTGTCACAGGTCGCATGGTCAGCGTGTCATGCAGTCTTCTAAATGCCGTTCAAGGACTAAACTATCGGGCAAAAAGAAAGTTACCACTTTTAATGCAATTGCATAAACACCCCAGCAGAAAACATTCGCCAAAATATAAAATGCTCCTAATAAAAACGAAGGTGTCCGAAAACTTCGCCCAAATCGTGCATTCTTCAAAACGTGAAAAAAGTAATTGTTGGACGTGCACGATAGTGGCATACGTAACAATGTTGGGCAGAACAATCATGCGGTAGCCGTTGTGGTAAAACTAAACTGTGATACGTACCTCACTGTTTTACTGTATTTTGTCGACCAATATGCAATGATAATACCTTCAATCTTTATTTCTTTTGTAGTGGAGGCCATAGGCCTACATTTCAGGATTACAGAGCGATACATACATGTGTATATTTTTAATGAATAAGACTATGAATAAGTTAATTTACATAATATGCGAAAAGAAAATATGATATTATTGGCATAGGACTGAATCTCTAAGATTCATTGAACTGTGTATATAAATGGATAGTGTTTTTACAATAAATGGATTGACAATTGGCATGGCCATATTATACTTATGAATAGTGGGACTTGAATAGAATTTATACCTAAATTATTCTCATCGCGAAATGGCTGCACTATTGTCGATCTTATGTAAACTTTTAACTCACTCACTCAAACGCTTGTGGGGCGAACAACTGAATGAAAATGCAGCCATTTTGGGGGTTGAACACACGATCATATGTTCCTGGTAAGGTTTACGGAAAGATCAATGCAAGTAGAAGACAAAAGATAATCATAATAATTAGTTTATTAAGATGTCGCAACACAACATCAGATAACATATAATACAAAGTAAAGCCACTCTTTTTCATCGATACCAAAATATCCGTTCATCTATACCTAGACTCACCTACATAACTAACTGTACACTAACATAAGAACTATTCGCTTTACGATTTAAGATTAAAATATTTAGAAACCTTAGAATGTTTACTTAAACATGTTATTACAAATGTCTGTTTAACAGTAATCAATATTAGCCACTATCACACAAGCTAGGTACACAGTCTTACATACAATGTAAGGATGTAAGGATTGTTCGTCTGGAGCTACAAAGACTATATCACTTGCATAAAGTGACAAAGAAAATGTCGTCTGCATAAAGTGACAAAGAAAATATCGTCAGCATAAAGTGACAAAGAAAATATCGTCTGCATAAAGTGACAAAGAAAATATCGTCTGCATAAAGTGACAAAGAAAATATCGTCTGCATAAAGTGACAAAGAAAATATCGTCTGCATAAAGTGACAAAGAAAATATCGTTTGCATAACGTGACAAATATAATATCGTCTGCATAAAGTGACAAAGAAAACATCGTCTGCATAAAGTGACAAAGAAAATATTGTCTGCATAAAGCAACAAAGAAAATATCATCTGCATAAAGTGACAAAGAAAATATCGTCTGCATAAAGTGACAAAGAAAATATCGTATGCATAAAGTGACAAAGAAAATATTGTCTGCATAAAGTGACAAAGAAAATATCGTCTGTATAAAGCGACAAAGAAAATATCATCTGCATAAAGTGACAAAGAAAATGTCGTCTGCACAAAGCGACAAAGAAAATTTCGTCTGCATAAAGCGACAAAGAAAATATCGTCTGCATAAAGTGACAAAGAAAACATCGTCTGCATGAAGTGACAAAGAAAACATCATCTGCATAAAGCGACAAAGAAAATATCGCCTGCATCAAGCGTCAAAGATGATTTCGTCTGCATACAGTGACAAAGAAAACATCGTCTGCATACAGCGACAAAGAAAATATCGTCTGCATCAAGAGTCAAAGATGATATCGTCTGCATACAGTGACAAAGAAAACATCGTCTGCATACAGCGACAAAGAAAATATCGCCTGCATCAAGCGTCAAAGATGATATCGTCTGCATAAAGTGACAAAGATAATATCGTCTGCATAAAGTGACAAAGAAAATATCGTATGCATAAAGTGACAAAGAAAATATTGTCTGCATAAAGTGACAAAGAAATATCATCTGCATAAAGCGACAAAGAAAATATCGTCTGCATAAAGTGACAAAGAAAATGTCGTCAGCACAAAGCGACAAAGAAAATATCGTCTGCATAAAGTGACAAAGAAAATATCATCAGCATAAAGTGACAAAGAAAATATCGTCTGCATAAAGTGACAAAGAAAATATCGTTTGCATAACGTGACAAATATAATATCGTCTGCATAAAGTGACAAAGAAAACATCGTCTGCATAAAGTGACAAAGAAAATATTGTCTGCATAAAGCGACAAAGAAAATATCATCTGCATAAAGTGACAAAGAAAATATCGTCTGCATAAAGTGACAAAGAAAATATCGTATGCATAAAGTGACAAAGAAAATATTGTCTGCATAAAGTGACAAAGAAATATCGTCTGCATAAAGCGACAAAGAAAATATCGTCTGCATAAATTGACAAAGAAAATGTCGTCTGCACAAAGCGACAAAGAAAATGTCGTCTGCATAAAGCGACAAAGAAAATATCGTCTGCATAAAGTGACAAAGAAAACATCGTCTGCATGAAGTGACAAAGAAAACATCATCTGCATAAAGCGACAAAGAAAATGTCGTCTGCATAAAGCGACAAAGAAAATATCGTCTGCATAAAGTGACAAAGAAAACATCGTCTGCATGAAGTGACAAAGAAAACATCATCTGCATAAAGCGACAAAGAAAATATCGCCTGCATCAAGCGTCAAAGATGATTTCGTCTGCATAAAGTGACCAAGAAAACATCGTCTGCATACAGCGACAAAGAAAATATCGTCTGCATCAAGAGTCAAAGATGATATCGTCTGCATACAGTGACAAAGAAAACATCGTCTGCATACAGCGACAAAGAAAATATCGCCTGCATCAAGCGTCAAAGATGATATCGTCTGCATAAAGTGACAAAGAAAATATCGTCTGCATAAAACAACAAAGAAAATATCGTCTGCATAAAACAACCAAGAAAATATTATTTGCATAAAGCGACTTAGAAAATATTGTCTGCATAAAACGACAAAGAAAATATCGTCTGCATAAAACGACAAAGAAAACATCGTTTGCATTAAACCAACAAGAAAATATCGTCAGCATAAAGCTATGAAGAAAATATGGTCAGCCTACAGCGAAAAAGAAACATCGTCTACATAAAACTATAAACACAATATCGTCTGTAGAAAGGTACAAAGACAATATCGTCTGCATAAACTGTTGCCTCACTTGAGGCTGCACCCCGTACTGTGGTCCAGTGGTCGTCTGTTGGGGACGATGAAGGGTGGAGAGACGTATAGATGAGGAACTGTACCATCAGTTCATGCCCTACTGGTGGCGTGGTCCTCTGTGGGGGACGATGAAGGGTGGAGAGACGTGTAGATGAGGAACAGTATCGTCAGTATAGGCTTCATCTGGTACTGTGGTCCTCGATGGAGGACGATGAAAAGTGGAGAGACGTAGATGAGGAACTGTAACGTCAGTTTTGGCTTCACCTGGTGCTGTGGTCCTCAGTTAGGAAGTTGATGGGTGGAGAGACGTGTAGATGTGGAACTGTTCCCTCAGGAGTCGCTCGTAATCATGTAGGGGTAAGACATCCCCGTCGTTGTTGGAAGCACAAGGTACATCACTGAAGTCACGGGACAATCTGTCTGCCATCACAGTAAGATATTCACCACATCTGTAGTTACAACATTACACTTACATTGCAGATAAAGTTGTCTTGCACAGAAGTGTAAGTATTTTGCTTTCATGCAGCGTGGAACAGAAATCATAAATGGATTGGTAATCCTAAAAAAGACCTCAACAGTGATCATAGATTTGCAATCCTTTCTTAACAAATCGTACATTTGTTACATAGATCCAATTGCTACTTTCTCCGTCATTTCCACAGATAATCTATACGGGCTTCGTCTATTCAGTTAGGGTCTAGTTTTCTGGGGTAAGTTGAGTAAATGGTGTTTAACACAGGAGATTGCAACTGGACACATATATGAGGGTTTGTTAACTGGTTATTACCATACCTAACCCCAGCACTTAAGGTCAAACAATAAACTTATGTACCTTCTGTCCTGGTTTTCTGCAAATAAAGCAAAAGACAAACTTGTAAATTTCTAAACGGAAAGATTCGTCCACGTTTCCATTAACTGAATAACAGTTAGTGACTGAGTCGCTCTTAGCACAGACCATCAACATCACCAAAACCAGAGCACCATAAATAGGGCTTCACACATTGTAACCATGTGGAGTATCGAACCTAGGTCTTTGGCGTGAACGCCTTAACCACTTGGCTCCCGACTACCCAATTTCCTGAATCAAAACAGCGTTTACAAAAAATAAAATTTAAAAAAAAGATTTCAGCATATGAAGGTGAACTACAGACATGCCTGTTTGCTGTTTAACGCTGCATTCAGCAATATTCCAGCTATATTACGATTGTCTGAAATAATCAAGACTTGACAAGAAAACCAAGTGATTGATATAATGAGCATCGATTTACGAAATTGGGATACGGGGGTATACATGCATGGCCATAATCAGCTAGCGTTTCTCACATGTTATGACGAGCTTGCAAATAGGTTGTAGAAGACCAGCTCTGACCTGGTTCTTCACTTTGGTGTAAGTTCGTGTTGGTTGTGGTGTGTTGGGGAGTGGAGGAGGGATTGAAACTTACATTGCATTCAAAAAGATTCATGTATTCATCGTACCTTTTACGTCCTTGCAGACAAGAATAGTAACTGCTGCCACCACTACTGCCACAGCAGTGAGCATAATGGAGTAGACAGCTACGATGGGGACGATGTCGTCGACGTTGTCATCATCTTCTGATATAACACAAAGTTAACACATATGTAATTAGTATGGTAATTCATATGAGAACGCAGAGACGTATTTGAATGATAAGAACTGTTCTGTTAATATTCCTTGTTCGTTTTAATGCATATATTGGTTTTATAACATAAGGAGGAAATAGAGGAAGTTCTGGGTTGTTTTGTGTGTCTTTTTTGAATGAAACATCGATCCTTTTCATAAGCTAACAGATTCCTGTCTACATCGTATTTGAAACATAAAAGATTCGTCGTTAATATTCCCTATTCCTTTCAGTGCATAGGTACTGATTTTAGGACATTAGGAGGAAATACTATTTGTGTCTACTTTTTCAAAGAAACTACGATTCTTTATACGCTACTGGAACCCTGTCTACATCGCATAACACAACAAAGGAAGCAAGCAATGAAGATGGAAGAATCTTTCTTGATGTATGACGGGAAGTATGACCGTTACAGCTGTCCAGGCCAGTGGATCTGTTTCCCCAACATGGCATATCACCGAATCCTGGTTATGTACATGGAAATTAAAAGGGTCATAAGTATTATATATATAATATAAACGAATTTGACTTAGGAAATGTTTATTTACAGTATATTAACTATTCTATGATGGGTATTTTAAATCATATAATCGGTATTTTTCCCTTTCCTTGAAATATTACACAGCTCAACGGTACTGTAACGAAATCCTACGCCCACACCTCCTTCCAATCATTGATCGCCAGAGAGAGTTGTTTCAACAGGACAATGCCAGGCCCACACAGCACGTCACACTAGAGACTTCCTCCAGAACCACAACATCAATGTGCTCCCCAGGCCCTCAAGATCACCGGACTTAAACCCGATCGAACATCTGTGGGATGCCCTGGACAGACGGGTGCCACGCCGTAACCCTCAGCTCCAGACACTTCAGCAACTCGCACAGGAACTACAGGCAGAGTGGGCTGCGATTGAGCAACACGAGATTCTGAGACTTATTCGTTCGATGCCGAGGCGATGTCGTGCAGTTCTGCATGCCCACGGTGGTCACACGAGGTATTGACTTCAGCGCCACCACACGTCTCCATGTGACACTCAAACTGACTTTCCTCGAGTTGTTGCCAAAGATGGATAAGTCTGCATTCCCAGTGTGCAATTTCGCTATATTTCATTAACTCATAAAGCCTACAAGATGTTTCAAAATAAACATAAAAATACAGTTGAAATTCCTATATGCGTTTCTTTTTGGGGGAGAGTATACATGGAAATTAAGAAGTGTCATAAGTATTATATATATAATATAAACGAATTTGACTTAGGAAATGTTTATTTACAGTATATTAACTATTCTATGATGGGTATTTTATATAATCTGCATTTTCCCCTTTCCTTGACGATTTGACTTACATCCAATGTATATGGGTTTGAGACACGACTCCTATTCCAGGCTTCTGGGCTTCAGACGGGAGATAGTTCGAGCTACATTTAATCGACATATCAGTACCATACACTCACAGTTCGAGTTTCACAGCCGTTACACATCATGCTTGTAGTTAACCTTTAGACACCAACCTTCTATTTCCTGGTAGTTCCCGTCGTTTTCGTCTTCCCTGTGATACGAAACCAAGCTGATAAAAATGAGTATTAAACTTTAGTAAACTGAGAGGAAATTATAAAGCTGTGACACACTCTCAATTTACATCGCTCCGAATCGTGCATAGTTTTGCTCTGATAGCTATGTCGGTTTGTTTATTGTTTGAAGCCGCACTCAGCAATATTCCAGCTATATGGGGGCGGTCTGTAAATAATCGAGTCTGGACCAGACAATTCAGTGCTCAACAGCATAAGCATCGATCTAAGCAATTGGGATACCATGATATGAGTCAACCAAGTCAGCGAGCCTGACCACCGTATCCCGTTTGTCAACTTTGACGACAAGCATGGGTTGCTGAGGATCAATTCTATATCAGATCTTCAGCTATGTATCACTGTGTGATATGAAATATTTATTCATCCTACTTGAAGATTGATGAAGATACTCACCGCTGATGAACGTATCCTCTCTCTGAAAGTGACAATGTTCAGCAGTTAATTATGCATACAAACTGCAAGGTTAATCACAGATGCCTGTATTATTGTGCACCGATCACATATCCGTACATGTTTGAATATAGTGCACTGATCTAGCACCGTAGACGCGATATGTGGACAACATCCGATACAAGTTTCAATAGAAGGTCAGTGAGTGAGTGAGTGAGTTGGGTTTTACGCGACTTTTATCAATGTTACAGCAATATCACGGCAGGGGACACAAGAAATTGGCCTGACACATTGATCCCATGTCAGGAATCGAACCCGGGCCTTCGGCTTTAACGCTTTACCCACTGGGCTACCCCAACGCCCAAGGTCACTCCGAGCTAATAGTTTTGATAGGCCTTTAGTTTTTCTATGTTGACAGCTAAAATTCCAAGATTGTTTTTAGACATGGTACAGAACATTGCCCATTTAATAATTCGCTATGACCTGTTTATCTGAACTAATTCATGTGACGTTTGAGGGTCTACGATGACGTACAACACCAACCTTCTATCTCCTGGTAGCCCCCGTCTGTTTCTGCGTCAAGGATGTATGTGACAAGGCTGGGGGGAAAGAAATGTAGAAAGTGGTTGGAATCAAGGAATATTTATAAAAACAGTCCTCTTTCCTCAGAGTGTTGTAAATCACAAAATAGCTGTCAAAATTATATGAATAAACCACTGAGAAAATCAGTTAAGACACCAGGTGTTCACGATAATACAGGTAGTTCACGCCCTTGAAAGATTTGCCTGGAAGAGTAATAACTATCAAGCTGTTCATTGCCTGTGCGCCATTGATTTAGACTGTGCTCGATATCACACAGCTACTGATTAGTGATATAGCCAGTCAAATTGTGTTGGTGATGAACTGTTTACCCAGTAGCCTTGAAGGATTGCAGATACTGCTAACTGTTTACGCAATAGCAATGAAGGATAGCAGATATTGCCAACTGTTTACCCAATAGCCTTGAAGGATAGCAGATATTGCCAACTGTTTACCCAATAGCCTTAAAGGACAGCTGATACTGCCAACTGTTTACCCAACAGCCTTGAAGGATTGCAGATACTTCCAACTGTTTACCCAATAGCCTTGAAGGATAGCAGATACTGCCAACTGTTTACCCAACAGCCTTGAAGAATAGCAGATACTGCCAACTGTTTACCCAATAGCCTTAAAGGACAGCTGATACTGCCAACTGTTTACCCAACAGCCTTGAAGGATTGCAGATACTTCCAACTGTTTACCCAATAGCCTTGAAGGATAGCAGATACTGCCAACTGTTTACCCAACAGCCTTGAAGAATAGCAGATACTGCCAACTGTTTACCCAATGGCCTTAAAGGATAGCAGATACTGCCAACTGTTTACCCAATAGGCTTGAAAGATAGCAGATACTGCCAACTGTTTACCCAATAGCCTTAAAGGATAGCAGATACTGCCAACTGTTTACCCAATACCCTTGAAGGATAGCAGATACTGCCAACTGTTTACCCAACAGCCTTGAAGAATAGCAGATACTGCCAACTGTTTACCCAATGGCCTTAAAGGATAGCAGATACTGCCAACTGTTTACCCAATAGGCTTGAAAGATAGCAGATACTGCCAACTGTTTACCCAACAGCCTTGAAGAATAGCAGATACTGCCAACTGTTTACCCAATGGCCTTAAAGGATAGCAGATACTGCCAACTGTTTACCCAATAGCCTTGAAGGATAGCAGATACTGCCAACTGTTTACCCAATAGGCTTGAAAGATAGCAGATACTGCCAACTGTTTACCCAATAGCCTTAAAGGATAGCAGATACTGCCAACTGTTTACCCAATAGGCTTGAAAGATAGCAGATACTTCCAACTGTTTACCCAACAGCCTTGAAGGATAGCAGATACTGCCAACTGTTTACCCAACAGCCTTGAAGGATTGCAGATACTTCCAACTGTTTACCCAATAGCCTTGAAGGATAGCAGATACTGCCAACTGTTTACCCAACAGCCTTGAAGGATAGCAGATACTGCCAACTGTTTACCTAACAGCTATGAAGGATAGCAGATACTGCCAACTGTTTACCCAATAGCCTTAAAGGACAGCTGATACTGCCAACTGTTTACCCAACAGCCTTGAAGGATTGCAGATACTTCCAACTGTTTACCCAATAGCCTTGAAGGATAGCAGATACTGCCAACTGTTTACCCAACAGCCTTGAAGAATAGCAGATACTGCCAACTGTTTACCCAATGGCCTTAAAGGATAGCAGATACTGCCAACTGTTTACCCAACAGCCTTAAAGGATAGCAGATACTGCCAACTGTTTACCCAATGGCCTTAAAGGATAGCAGATACTGCCAACTGTTTACCCAACAGCCTTGAAGAATAGCAGATACTGCCAACTGTTTACCCAATGGCCTTAAAGGATAGCAGATACTGCCAACTGTTTACCCAACAGCCTTGAAGGATAGCAGATACTGCCAACTGTTTACCCAATAGGCTTGAAAGATAGCAGATACTGCCAACTGTTTACCCAATAGCCTTAAAGGATAGCAGATACTGCCAACTGTTTACCCAATAGGCTTGAAAGATAGCAGATACTTCCAACTGTTTACCCAACAGCCTTGAAGGATAGCAGATACTGCCAACTGTTTACCCAACAGCCTTGAAGGATTGCAGATACTGCCAACTGTTTACCCAATAGGCTTGAAAGATAGCAGATACTGCCAACTGTTTACCCAATAAACTTGAAGAATAGCAGATACTGCCAACTGTTTACCCAATGGCCTTAAAGGATAGCAGATACTGCCAACTGTTTACCCAATAGCCTTGAAGGATAGCAGATACTGCCAACTGTTTACCCAATAGGCTTGAAAGATAGCAGATACTGCCAACTGTTTACCCAATAGCCTTAAAGGATAGCAGATACTGCCAACTGTTTACCCAATAGGCTTGAAAGATAGCAGATACTTCCAACTGTTTACCCAACAGCCTTGAAGGATAGCAGATACTGCCAACTGTTTACCCAACAGCCTTGAAGGATTGCAGATACTTCCAACTGTTTACCCAACAGCCTTGAAGAATAGCAGATACTGCCAACTGTTTACCCAATGGCCTTAAAGGATAGCAGATACTGCCAACTGTTTACCCAGTAGCCTTGAAGGATAGCAAATACTGCCAACCGCACGTTTACCCAATAGCCTTGAAGGATTGCAGATACTGCCAACTCTTTACCCAACAGCCTTGAAGGATAGCAGATACTGCCAACTGTTTACCCAACAGCCTTGAAAAAGAGCAGATACTACTAACTTTAATTTTCCCATTTGCCTTACCCACTGGATAGCAGATACTCACCGACTATGAATGTCTCCCCATCCTGAAAGATATAATTGGGTAGATGCAAAATGTTAGATGAAAAATATATGATGAACGAATTGCTTGTATACTTGCATACCTTTGGAGTAGACATAAATAACTTGAAATTTGTAGAACGATAAGTGACTGTCAGCTAAGTAACACTGGTGTCCTGAAGTCCTTGTTAGGATGGTAAGACTAGTGGTTAAAGTGTCTCCCGCTGGGATATTACTGGGATATTGCTAAAAGCGGCGTAAACATCCTCACTCACTCACAGAAAGCTAAAGACCATCAAATATGTAAATGTGTGCACACTATTGATTCATATCTCAAATGCCGTTCAAGCGTCTTGACGGTTATAAAAGAGAAATTATTCATATTTCTCAGGCTGTTCCAGCATCTTTAGGGTTAATAAAAGAAATGATTCATATTTCTCAGGCTGTTCAAATGCATCTTGACGGTTATATAAGAGAAGTGAAATGAGTCTATGTTATGTTGGACTGAAACACACAGAGAAAAGGACATGTCAAGTAGATACCACAACAGTTTTAAGTAATTTACATCTAACATCTCATGTAAGCTTATGACATAGATATTCAATTTTCACTCTATTTATGGGTGTGAAAGGTTTTGCATATGATCTCAATAATAGTGTCTCTTAAGGGTATAAACTCTTCACACCGAACACCCGAGTTCGATTCCCCACATGGGTACAATATCTGAAGCCCATTTCGGGTGTCCCCCGTCGTGATATTGCTCATATTCACTCACTATAAACTCTTCCTTAAAGGCTGGTCTCAGATTCAATTTCCCCACATTTACTTCCTGAATGAATACTAATAGACATCATCAAGGACATCTTTACATTTAAACAAAATCCACCATATGGACGTGAAAAATATGACATAGGAAAGATCTATTAGTATAAATAGGACAAAATGATCATTTGAAAATGTATAACATGTCAATATAAAGTGAAATGCTTGCCAGATAACGTTTTACTGAGTAACTGGGTGGAAATGGACATCAGATGCTATATACCGAAGTATTATTTATGTTTTACAGTTACAGTAAAGCATTACATCTAAAAACACATTAGTATTGCTTAACGTTTGTATAGGTGTATATATACTGACCAGCAATAAAAACGCAACTCAGAATTCATGAAAATTGTACTTTTTCAGCATGAGTTTGGATTTGATCCTTTAACACAAGTATGATGTGGTGATGATAAAGCATTCACCATGCAGGATGGTGTTCCAAATCATTAGGGAGAAACAGGCAAGGAGGAAATGCATGACACACGTGCAGAGTGTGGACGTAGGGCTACAAATGCAGGCAGTGTCGTAATGCTGTCATTTCACCGCAACATGCCACGTGTAAGTGAAATGGAGAGACACCAAGCAATAGGCATGCTGAATGCTGGAGTTCGACAAGTTCGTGTAGCCCGACATTTTCAGGTGCACCCTTCGACAATAACTCGTCTGCAGCAACGGGTAGTGGCAACTGGCAGCGTTTCTGATCGCCCCGTTCCGGTACACCCCCGTGTGACGTCACAAAGACAGGACCGGATAATCCAACTTCAGCACCTCCGGAACCGTCTGCAGGCGGCAGTAAGCACTGCTAATGCCGTGATTGCGTCTACGGGGCGCCCTATCAGCGAAAGTACTGTGCGTTGACGACTCCTAGCGGCAGGCTTACATTGCCGTCGACCTTACCGTGGACCAATCCTCACCAACAGACATCGACTGGAACGGCGCCGTTGGGTGACAAATCGAGGTCACCATGGTTAAGCCAATTCTGTTATACGGCTGCGAAATATGGGGTTTTGAAAACTGTAAATCTATAGAATCCGTTCATGTAAACTTTTTACGAAAATTCATTCCCGTTAAGAGAAACACGTCATTATAATGCTATATGGAAAACTTGGAAGGGTACCCCTAAATAACTCTATCAAATGTCGGATGGTATATATTTCTGGGCTACACTCCTATCTGGTAAAGAACAAATGCTGTCAACAATTGTACACCAAATGTTATAAACAATAGCAACCAAAAATAGATCAAATCCGTGGAAGCCGTATTTAATGAAACAGGCTATAGCATCTGCTGGGTAAGTCAAGCAGCTGTCTTTCTCAATGAAATTAAAACTATTATCTCCTTAGGCTTAGATGATATAGCAACCCAAACATGGCGCGCAGAGATTTCGAATTCTTCTAAGGGCACCATGTATCGCGTATTCAAATCTGAACTTGTCTTTGATAAATATCTCACATATATCCCTTCCTCCTTGGCTTTTAAATTTCTCTTGTTTAGAACTTCCTGCCATCGTTTACATATAGAGTAAATTCCACTCGAAGAAAGAATGTGTAACCTCTGCTACACGTGTAATGTTGGCGATGAATTTCACTACATTTTTCTCTGCCCTTTCTTCAAACATCATAGGAAAACTTATATCCCAAACCATTATGTTGAAAAACCCAATGTTTTAAGATTTAACGAATTGTTAAAGCATTGGCCTTGCTATTCTATGGAGCCAACTATTTCCGTGTGACGATAGACTGAACACACACATTGATTGCGTGATGTAAACATGAGCATTTAGTTTATATGGGAACCGCAACACGCTATTAAGTGAGATCAGTATTTGTAATTGCTGAACGAAAGTGCGAAAGAAGTGCTTCTGAGAGAGACAACTTTACGTGACTCTCGGGTTATCGTCATTCACTCTCACATCACACCGTATTACCTCCACGTCTCTGTTTTCTACAAACAACAACGATGACGACAACGGCGATGACCACGATCAGGACGGAACAGACAGCAGCCACGGGGACGATGGAAACGGCACCAGATTCAGTAACTTCACGTGCTGAAACATTTAATATGGACAATATTCAGTTCAGTATGCATACGAGTATAATCATGTAACATCAAGCCTCTTCGGGAGGTTTTAACTCGATTCAAAACAGATTAAATGGGTTGACACTTGCGATGTTCATCTGTGATAACCTTTCCGTGCCACGCTTTGTAAGTGATTGATGCGGTACGCTTTACATCCCCAACAACAACGTCATTGTCAACATCAGCTCCACAGGAGGACATGCAATGTCGATAACATCAGTGTTCTCATTTGTGCAGGGTGAAGAAACGGAAATATGTAACGAAAAGGGTCAAATTATATTCCTCATATAACTAGAGTTTCAGGAGCACTGTATTCTGTAGGGCTGGGTTTCTAATTGACTTTTTCGAATTAACGGAAACATTTGGGATTTTTGGAGAATCTGAAAGTTAAGAATCATTGGAGTGATAATAGTCATAAAATTTGTGAGAAAATTAAATTCTTCATCAATATTACGGTTTCAAATGGTTAATTATTTTTAATCTTTGAGTGCCATCTGAAGTGTCTTTGGTTATTTTAAATCTTTGGGTGCCATAACTTTCGGTGTTCTAGCAGGTGTTCCAGCAGGATCAGGTGTACGAATAGGGGGCCGTCCCAACAGGCGTCATCCCCCAAAATAGGTTGTATATAACAGATTCTATTGCTGAAGTGTTGACTTACAGGAGACCTTCAGCGTCAGGTTCCGTGATGCACTCCCATGTGTGTTGTTGACGTGACAAGTGTACAGTCCAGACACAGATACACCTACAGCTGGTATAGACAACACAGCCTCCCCCTGTCCTGTAATCACCGTCTGTCTGGAGATGTCCCACCAGGTTACAGTACAGGCAGGGTTACAGTCAGATGGGTTACAGTACAGGCAGGGTTACAGTCAGCAGAACATCTCACAGCTGCAGGTTTCCCTTCTTCTACCTCCAGCTTGTCACTTGTGCCGTCAAACTGTATCTGGTCAGGTTCATCTGGAATGCATGTGAGATGGTAAGCTGAGAAGCTATTCTGAGATATAAGTGCAGTTTGCTTCGGTGAATGAAGACATGTTGTTTGCTTTGGCCTGTGGTCTTTGGATTCACAAAATCGTAAATGTCTCAGACCCATATCAGTTTATGCTTTCCTCCCACAATAAGTACAGACTACAACTGGAACACCATTGTAACTCACTCAACCACTCTGTTGATATGTACTACTCTTGACAACATATCCAGGTGAGCTTACAGTGCCGTGAAACTAGAAGCATTTTCGATGGCCTCTAACAGTTTGAATGGATCATTAAATCAGACCTGCCTGTAATTCCTATCCGAACTTTCACAATAATCATTTCTGTTCTGTTTACGAAGAGCAGAGTACTTCAGCAAAGAAAGTTGTGACACAACTATCACCCAGAAACACAGTTTCAAAGATAAGATATACGAGGTTCCTATACCGTTAACAAAGTAAGTTCTTACTCACAGAGAACATCCAGTACATGTCCGTGACTCCAGTCAGACTTCAGGCCCTCCTCCACAGCCTGGCAGCTGTAGATGTCTCCATGGTTCTCTCTGCTGATGTGGGTTATTGTCAGGTCATCTCTACCTGTAGAAGACCCATCACCAGATTCTAGCAGGGTCCTGTTCCTCCTCCAGATGTAGGTCAAGGTCAGTGGGGGATGGTCCAGGGGTAGACTCCGGGAGGAGGAGGAGCATGTCAGGGTGACATTCTCACCTGATACAGGTGAGGCAGGTCCGGTGATGGTAGGTGGGGTTGGCTCCTCTGTGAACAAATATAACAAATGTGCTGAGACCTTAAGACGAGTGCCATTGAACAAGATTTTGCTGAAAGATTTCATACTTGTATTTAAATACTATTCATCATTATTATCTATCAAATGTTAAATAGTTAAAGTGTTCACTCGTCACGTTGAAGACCCAGGTTCGATTCCCCACATGGGTACAATGAGTGAAGCCCATTTCTGATGTCAACTGTCATGATATTGCTGGAATATTGCTATAAAGACTCACTCACTCACTCACTCACTGCGACATTGCTTCTTTGTCGGTGAACAAGCATAGTTCATATACACACATGCACACAACACACACACATGCATACAATACACACATACACACACATTCATACAACACACACATACACACAGATGCATACAACACACACATACATGCATACAACACACACATACACAGATGCATACAACACACACATACACACACATGCATACAACTCACACACATGCATACAACTCACACACACATGCATACAACTATCACACACATGCATACAACACACACATGCATACAACACACACACACGCATACAACACACACACACACACGAATACACACGCAAACACACATACGCACGCGCGCGCGCACGCACGCATGCACATACACTCACATACACACACACACCCGGATCCATGTCGCCATATACACAATTATCTAACCCTCCCATTTCACCTCACCTAAAGTTCTTCTACTGCAATAGAAGATTGATCGGCTATTTATTTATGTTGGAGATACATTAAGACAGTCCAACTTTATTCTTCAAATAATATTCTGTTCATCCCATATTCTACTCACGTGCCACAACGAGGACCTGTCCACATCCAGATATAATCTGTCCTATGCTTTCTTGACAATAGTAAGTACCAGCGTCCTGTACAGTAACATTGTAGATGGTAAACCTCAGCTGTCCTGTCTGTGATAGTGAGTCCTCCCCGGTGTATCTCATCCTGGTCGTGTAGCCGGTGTGACTGCTGTTGAGTACCGTTACTTTGTGTGACATAGGATTAACCAGTAACAGTCTCACAGCTACCGAACCATTCACCCATAGGTAGTATGGGAACCTAACATTCGCTGGGTTCATGGCTATGTTAACATCGTCGCCAACATGTGTAACAGTGTGTGGGTATCCAGTTGTCATGGAGGCAAAACCTGCACGCAAAACATATAATCTTCATTAAAACAAGGTAAACAGCTGACAGAATTATTCAAGCACATCATTTAAGTCAGCTGAATGTAATAATAGTTCACAGATACCTACCACACAGATATACACACCTGGAACTAGTCACTTATAACACGTCATTTAAAGCTCGATATAATGCAAGATCAATTGGCAGATACATACCACACATATACAAGCCCCAAAACAAAATATAAGCCGGAGACATCACTACTAGCGTGATGGGTTCATACTGATACATCACGTACTTTGACACTTGTTTTTGAAGCGTCAAAATATTTAGTTTCGCTAGAAAATATTTCCCTATAAACAGCGGGTCACTTCCCGTTGGATTTTAACAATTATACCTAGAACTATACCTACGAGTTCTTAACGTTCAACAGTCAGTAAGTAGCAGTAGACAGAGAGAGAGAGAGAAGGGCTGTCAGAACGACGAAAATTGGACATGAGCTCCACAGTTTGTGGGGTGGGTGAGGGTAGCTTTATGGTTATAGCGTTCGCTCACGCCGAAGACCCAGTTTCGATTCCTCACATGTGTGGAGCCCATTTCTGCTTTATCTCCACCGTAATATTGCTGGAATATTGCTATAAGTGGCGTAAAATCACAATCACTCACTCACTTACTTACAAAGTTACAGATGTTGGCCAGGCAGATTCGAAATCGGCTACAGAGATTGAGCCTGCATGCCCCATGTGTTATCCCACGATTCACGGACCGTCTGTAACATTACTGTAACATGTGCTTGCTGTAACATGTCGTTGCTGGCAAATATCGTCGCTTTAACTTATGGTCGCGTAGCCGGTGTGACTGTTGTTGAGTACTGCTACTCGGTTTGATTGGTTGGTGATCAGAATCGGGTGGTCAGACTCGCTAACTTGGTTGACACATGTTATCGTATCCCAGTTGCGTAGATCGATGTTCATGCTGTTGATCACTGGATCGTCTGGTGCAGACTTGATTATTTACAGACCGCTGCCATATAGCTAGGATATTGCTGAGTGCGGCGTTAAACAACAAACCAACCCAGTCAGAGAGCCTGACCACCCTATCCTGTTAGACAGGCAGACACCAATGTGGGCCTAGTGGCCTATAATACAGTTTACAATTCATTTGATTATCAGTGGTCAATATCGGTATAAAGGTTGATCTAAGTTTGAAGATATGGTGAGGCAATAAAGCGGTCATATGGAATACTCGGCGGTTTTTAAGACTTAAAAATAGTAGGAACAGTTACATTTTGTAGTTGTTCATTATAAGCATTTTGTAGCTGTGAGAAGTATTCTCGTATATGCTGATTTTTCTGACACATGATAAATACATGGTTTTGATTTGTAATGTCCTGGTATATCACTGTTATTCCTATATTCGTTGACTTTGAAATTATTGTGGGATATTCGAAATTTACCAAATGCCTGGATCAAATGATGATATTTTAATTTTGGTCTGTTTTATTCTAGATTACCGTTGCGAATGATGATGGAGGAACTTGGAGTTTCTGATTTCTCTCTCTGTTTGAAGATGTACATAAAGACTCTCACATCACCGACGCCTTAGTTTACCCGAACATTCGAGAAACCGCTCTACGATTATATGGATATAACTTTTGAAGTCCAATTGGTTTTACCCACGTCATCGAATGTCTCAAGCATATTGTAACACTGTCGTAGGTAACGATGTTCATTCATTGGCAGCAACTTGAACCAGAACTTAATCACTTTTATTTGGGTAAGTACATGGGGTGCCGCCCTAGTTCACCGAGGATGGCTTTGTTTGATGAAAACATCTCAGTTATTAGAAATCATTTGAAGAACATCGTATGGATCCTCTCTAGTGGTAGTAGTAGTAGTAGTAGTAGTAGTAGTAGTAGTAGTAGTAGTAGTAGTAGTAGAAGTAGTAGTAAGTGAGTGAGTTTAGTTTTACGCCGCTTTTAGCAATATTCCAGCAATATCACGGCGGGGGACACCGGAAATGGGTTTCACACACTGTACCCATGTGGGGAATCGAACCTGGGTCTTCGGCGTGACGAGCGAACGCTTTAACCACTAGCCTACCCCACCGCCCCTCATTAGTAGTAGTAGTAGATCGTAGTACAGTATAGGACTTGGATGCATCCTTGCCTCACTCCCGGGAAGTACCAAACGTCTTTGGTTTGTCTACTTTAACACATGCCTTTACAGATGCATACATATTGTTTAGTAAAATGATCAATTTTCCATGGCATCCATGTTTAAACACTATGTAAAGCAATCTGTCCCTGTCACCCAAAATCGAACGCTTTTTAAGTAAAATCGATCCTTTGTCTTACACAAGTACTTGGAACATAAGGCTTGTAATGTGAGTGAGTGAGTGAGTTTAATTTTCCGCCGCACTCAGCAATATTCCAAAGGTGGACATATGCGGTCAGACGATGAAAGTACAGTTTTAGTTGTTCTCTGGCCACAAATGCCGCCCCATACTATGACACCTTTTCCATGGAACGGATGAAGCTCTTGAGCGCAGTTTGCAGTTGCAGTCGTTGCTCTTTTCTACGTCGAAAACATCGAACTCTGCCGTCGTTTCTGAACAGGCTGGTCCTACATTCATCTGTAAAGAACACTCACTCCCAGTCACGTCGCTGCCACCGACGTACAGTTGCAGTCGGCGTTGACGGGGTAGAAGGTCAAAGCCATTCTACCGAAGGGGCGGTAGGCTCGTACACCAGCCATACCAAGTCGCCGACAGACTGTTCGTCTGCTGATGGCGTGTCCTAGTGTTGTCGCCATCGTCGACTTCACCGTGACGAATCTGTTCCGAGGGTGCCTCCGTTCTTAGGTCGGTGTCGTCACTCTTGGTCTTCCCGATCTTGGGCCATCTTTGGTCTGGCCTGTTTGCTGGTAGCGGTTTATCGATTTGCTGATGGTGGCTTGGCTGCAGTTGAAGGTTCTTGCCAGCTGACGTTGTGAAGTCCCCATATTCGGGTAAGGTCATCAGGTTGACACAACATATCCATAACACAGTGGTATAATCATTTTATGGGTATATTTAACACAGATGATGACTTAGTTAACGATGAAAATATAGTTTCAGACGAAATTAGCGAAGACTTTGATGACAAGCAGTTAAAGATTTGAAAAGTAACAAATCTGCAGGTATTGACAATCTTTTGATCTGTTAATACCGTACTTGGTAATACTATTCAATGCCATATTTGATTCTGCATACTACCCCGATGCATGGCCAACGGGAACGATTGTTCCCTTGCACAAAGGGGGGTAGTCATTCTCCTAATAATTTCCGAGGAATTATATTTTAAAGCATATTTAGTAAAATATATGTATCTATTTTGAATAGACGTCTTATATTTTGGACTAATGCCTAATGGAACCACAGGCCGGATTTTCGTGAGGGATACTCCACCACTGACAATATAGTTATCTTACAATCCGTGATTCAGCGGTATTTATCAAATAAAAGAGGAAAGTTTATGCTCTAATTGTAGATTTTTCAAAAAGGAAACGCAAAGAAATCATGAAGATACATAGTAAAAAGAAATTCTCTATCATATGTTTACAAAATATACTTATTTCTATATACCATGAAAATATAATGAAAACTGAATCGTATTTAAGATTGTGTTATGGCTCCTTTCAAGTCAAATGCAAGAGGAGTTGCCATCCTTTTAAACAATAATTTCGAATTTGAAATACACAAGATGTCTAAGGATGAACATGGAAACTACATCATTTTAGACATAACCGTTGACGGTATTAGATTTACCCTTACGAATTTATATGGACCGAATTTGGACACTCCTACTTTTTTACATAGACTTATTCAATAAGATTGTAACTATTGGTAATGCTTCAATTGCAATCTGTGGAGATTGGAACTTTGTTTTAGATTCTTCGACTGACCTAGAAAATTGTAAGAATATTAACAACCCTAAGGCTCGTCAAATCGTTTGAGATAATTTAGAAAACATGAACTTACTAGACGCATGGAGAGAGATAAACACTGATACGAGAAAATATACATGTTGGAAAAGAAACCCTCGCCAACAAGCTAGGTTAGGTTTCTTCTTGGTCACTGAAGACCTGTTTAACATAAGTACTAATACTTCCATTATACCAGGCTATAAGAGTGATCATTCAGCTGTAACACTATCTCTATCAACACAAAATAGCAAGGAAAAGGGACGTGGGTATTGGAAGTTCAACACATCATTATTACGGCTTGAGGAATATATGGCATTAGTAACTGACTTACTCAATGATACTAAGCATGAAAGCGCAGATCCTAAGTATACAGATGAAGAAGTAAACGACACAGATGATTCAGACTTACTCTTAACCATCAATGATACACTATTTTGGGAAACACCCTTAATGAAAGTCAGAGTGAAATCTATTTCATATTCGTCATATCTAAAAAAGACTAATAAAGTAAAATACAAAGAATTTGAAGAGAACATATTTCGTTTAGAGGATGAAATAAGAAATCCTTTCCAAAATGTTGATGAAACACCTCTCTCAAATCTTTCAAAAATAAAATCTAACTTGAAAAAATATAAGAAGAAGAAATGAAAGGAATATAAATTCGTAAAAGAATCCAATGGTACGGTGAATGGGAGAAACCTACTAATTACTTTTGCAATCTGGAAAATAGAAACTACACTAACAAACTTATTAATTCTCTTATTACTGACAGTTGTCATGAAAGAACAGACGGAGAAACAATAATAAATGAACAGAAGATGTTTTACGAAAATTTGTATAAATCAACAAATGTAATCGATGATGACAGTAAAGCTATCTTCCAAATTATTGACACTCCTTCCTTAAACAAAGACCAGTAAGACGAATTAGAACGTGAAATAAGTCTCGAGGAACTATCACTTGCTGTTAAATCGATGAAAAACAATAAAAGCCCTGGCCCAGATGGTTTCCCTAT